CTCTCTCTCTCACACACACACACACACACACACACTCTCTCACACACTCTCTCTCTCTCACACACACACACACACACACTCTCTCACACACACACACACACACCGCAAACCAAGCAAAATAGCTGGAACTGCTCAGATTGGAGGGGCCCCTTGAGAAAGAGGGGTCACAGGGAGCGGGGTGAGACAACTACAGAAAAGAAAAAAAAAAAGAGTGAAAGAGGAAAAAAACATCTACGGAAGCAATCCCTCAGAATTCCATTGGCTGCATGAGTTGCTGTGGTCCTGTTACACTCCGAGCGCCCGCCCTCCCCCCTTCACTGTCTCCTTCCCACTCTGGAAACTATGACATTTATTATAGAGGGGAGGGGAGAACAGGGGAAGAGACTGGGAGAGGAGCACTGGGATAAGGGAAGGGAGGTCTTATCGTAAATGAGAAGCCTGCACATCCTGGTACACCAATACAGAAACAGAAATGCTACAACTGGAAAACACTGATGGAAATATACAACCTCAAAGCCTCCAAGATCTCTGATTATAAATTCTTCTCCACCCCCACAGTCCTTAGCTTCTCTTAGCACAGATAAAAGTACAAATATTGAGTTTTCTATCAAAACTTAGCTTGGCAGGCTAACTTTTGTAGCTCAAATCAATCAAAACAGATGCAAACAAAGCTTCAGTTCAGATTATAATCAAAAAGCCTGTGATAAAATACACACACTATAGGAGCTTCCAAGTCAGCACTGCACTGTATTCAAAGAGCCTGTATGTGAGAACTCAGAGAACTGGTAAATGAGTTACCAAGTCCCAGTAATTCATCACCAGGTTTTAAAACTAAAAGATAATTCATTCACTCAACCTACCCCGAACCCTATATGGCCAGGGCTATACACCGCTTCCTGTAGGCGAAACATAAAACAAAACAATGTCATGGCAACTGTTGGGACGGCTGGAGGCCACCAGTTGCTGTTAGGAATTGCTGATGATCTGCAACCTCCACGGTCACAACTGCTCGGTGTTGTCTTTACATGTCTCTGACACCACGGCGAGCTCAGCAGGACAGCCGACGCACCCTCCCCCACCTTCCATCCCCAGGGCAGGGCAGTGGACACAGAGCAAAGTGGTTGTGGATCAGGCCTCATCCACACTAATGCAATTACATCTGAAAACAATGTTCACAATTCACATGCCTTTTCCAACCACACTAAAGATACTTTTTATGTGTTCATCATTGGTCGAAAACACAAAAAGCAGACACTAACGTTATTTTTTACTAGAGGGTCGTTGTCCAAATTGACATGCCAAAATAGTGAGATGAGTGTGACACCTTATGTAAATCTTTTCATTTCTGTGGTTTCTTCAGCTTTCCAGAATTCAAAAGTACTGTTTGTTGTTCACAAAGAAGGCATGAATGGAGTGGAGTGCATTTCTTTCAAATCCAACTACATTTTTAAATGAAGAATATGTTGACCATTCTGTTAGTCAATCACCAAAGACAAAATATAACCCTACACTAGCTTATTCAGGTGATAACTGGCTGTAAATGGCCAGGTACTGCAGCAAATGAGAGCAATGTGGTTCAAACGTAACCCATTATGAAGTTGGTTGCCTGCAGTGTGGTGCTTTACTTGCTAATTTCTGCTCAAGCTGTCATCATGGTCGACTGTGGCTTAGCAGAGCACAGAGTAGGACTCTTGATCCACCCAGGCACTTGACATCTCCTTGACTGATAGCCCAATTATCAAGGTGGCGTTTATTATGCCAGCGTTATTTATAACGAAGGAGGGAGGGGGACCTTTCGCATTAAGGCTAAACTTGACTTTGCTTAAATGATTTGCCATTAAACTTTTCTGTTTAGTGCCTATCACATGGAAGCTGTTCCCTACTGACTTTTTTTTCTCATTCAAGATAGAACCTCTCTATCAGTAGTTCAATGTGTATCTAAAAGACTGCGACTGGATCAAAGTTTTTTTTTTACTGGATTCAGATTCAAAGAGCAACTTAGCAGAGGTTCAACATCCCTAAAGAAATCCAAGTGAAGAAGTCTGAATGTTGCACTTGTTGTTCATAGACCTCATCTGATTACAGTAGTATGACAAACAAACCTAACACAGAGATTGCCTGTTTACACCCATGAAAACTGTGGCGTGTACATCTGGCTTTGAGGAGAATGTTATTTCCAAAAATAAGTCAGCTCTGTGGTTTAAATGTCTCAGAATAAGCTCTGCTACCTGCCAAAACAGCAGATCAAAGCTAGATCTGAGGCAAGATTGACTGTTTATTCCAGTGAAATTGTCTCTCAAAGCCAGATGTCAAAAGCTGCATTTCTCTGGTGTAAAACGGGAGTGAAGCTATGGGGAATGCAGCAATGATGAAACACACCCCACAGCTGAGTTGTCAAATGTTAAAAATGGGATCCTCAGGCCACAGTGGCTCCACGCAGGGAGTATATGCTTGGAAGGTGGTTGAAGTCAGTGACTAAAGAGCACACTGAGGGAGGCCAGATGTAATCAGGCCACTAAGATGAGGATGACCACCTCTACTCTAGTTGACTGGGGATGCCTGGCTGCCTCTCTATCAGCAGGACATCATCAAGAGAGATTATTGGGGCAACCTCTGTGACCCTATTGTGGCTTTAAGTTTCCCTTTGAAGGAGGGTTTGTATCATCATACTTCCTAACGAAGCAACTAATTCAAGATACAAAGACTAAGTGAGGTTCAGTTTAACTGCTGATTATTTTTTTAATATTATAATATTTTATATTTTTTCAAAAAATGTATTTAAAGAGGAAATATCGTTTTATGGAGTGCCATGTAAGATTAATTACTATGTTGACTCCACTACATAAGCAGCGAATTTCATATATTAGTAGACTACCCTGCAATATCACACTTACTCATGAGTAAACACATTTAAATAGTAAAAATAGCTATCAAATGTATGCATTCTGCAACTGGCAACATATATAAAAATGTTTATGTATTTTGTTATTCAGATGGTGCTCAGTTCCCATAAGGTGCAACAGTTTGAGTCATTTTGGGAACTTTAAACCCCACCTGAGAGGGTCCACTTCTCAGATACTACATCTCTGTGGAGATGCCCTCAGTGACAGTGGAGGCATTGATGTCTGGAACAGAGGTGTTACATCAAGACTTTGGTAAACACTAGCCTGACTTTCTCACAGTCCCATTTGTGTACTGAGCTGACAGGCCCCAGTTGAACAGGAAGGGCCCTGTCTGTGTGTGGTCAATAAACCAAAAGTTTGTCAAACACAAAGTTGTTCCAAATGAGAGCTTCACGCAGGCTTACAGCCCAGTCTTCCCAGCACCATTTGTAACTGACCAAGTGGCCTCGGTTCATAACAGCTTAGTTTGAAATCCAATTTGAGTATTTATCCCTTCAACCTTTAAGCAGAGTTAAAGCAAATTAGGTAACAGTTGAAACTGAAAATATTTAGGTAAT